TCCTGGAGATAGAGTGGGATTGTTGGGGTGTCTGGGCAGGGTCAGGAGTTGGATTTTGATCCTTGTGGGTCCTTCCCATGTAGGATATTCCATGATTTTACCATAACATTTGTTTTGAAGGACAGAGCCTTGGTTAAGCCTTGTCTCTTATCGCCTTCCAGAGGGCAGGGATAGGTGGGATATTGGGAAGGAATTGTTCCCTAGAAGGATGGGGAGGGGCTGGGATGGAATTCTCAGAGCAGCTGTGGCTGCCCCTGGATCCCTGGCAGTGTCCAAGGCCAGGTTGGACATTGGGGCTTGGAGCACCCTGGGATAGTGGGAAGAGTCCCTGCCCAGGTGGAACTGGATGGTACTTCCAACCAAACCATTCCAAGATTCCATGACACTCCATCCATCCCAGAGATCRTTAAATCCTTACTTTTCCAGAATAAGTTCCCTTATCAGAATTTGGGGGTCTGGTTCACTTAAAGTTTGGAAGTTGATGGGGAAAGCAAAGGGAACTGGCATTGGAATAAAAAACAGTGTTTCCTGTGAAAAACCCACCCTCATGAAAACGAGCAACCCCTTCTCAAATTAGAAGCAAAATGTTTGGGATGGAAACTTGGTTGGAAGTTTCCCATAAAAACCTCCCATAAAACCTCCACCCATGGAAAACCAAAATAAGGCCCCATTGCTTTCCCAGAGGCTGCTTTAACTTCCCAAGGATTCCAGGTGGGAGCAGCCACTCTGGTTTTCCTCATGGAAAATTGCTGTGACCACGCAGCTGCCCTTGGAAAGCTCTGATTTTTGCTAGAGAGGGCATTTCCCATGAAGGAAATCATTCTGGTGGAAAATGTGCTCCAGCTCTGGGAGTGACCGCATTTCCTGGCTGGTTTGGGGATGAAGAAACCTTGGGGCCTAAACCTTGGGCTAAACCCCATTGGGAAGGAAATTCCCTGTTGGATAGGAAATTCTCCTGTGGCTTTCCATGGAGCAGTTTCCCAGGGAATGGTGACATTGCCAAGGCTGCCAGAGCTCCAGGAGTGTTTGGACAGCGCTCCAGGGACAGGATGGGGTTGTTGGGGTGTCTGTGCAGGGCCAGGGGATGGATTTTGATCCTTGTGGATCCCTTCCCACAGGGAATTCCATGATCCCACACAGTCGTTGCCTTCCTGTTTTCTCCTGATCATTTTCCAAGGAATTACTGCTAAAATGTCCCAGGACTGGGAGCGCCACAAGTTCGACCCTGGGACAATCCTTGGTGGCCCTTCCTGGCACAAGATCCTGCTTTTTCTTCTTTTTCCTAGGAAAATTCATAGAGTAGGTTTATTGTTTAACAAATTTATGACCACCCACAACTTCTCCGTGGGTTTTCCCTGGAGCTTTTCCCAGTTTTTCTCCTGAGCACTGAAAGTGGATACTTGGCTTAAAAAAA